GACGAAGGTATTAAACTGATCAGAACAATACTAAACACACCACTCCTATCTGGTGGCACATTAGCTTGACCGCGCAGTGCCCCAAATTTGAATTAAGAGGACCGACCAAGCATCTTCTTCCATCTCCCTGTTACAGAAATCACTGCCATATTCATACAAATTGTACAGAATGTCCAGGATAGTTTTCCAGGGACAAATGTTGTCGCCTGTTGAACGAGGTGACCTTGCTCGGGTCCTAGGTGTACGGTTCCTAAAATGGCTGCCATATACACGTCCACTGATAGGAGACGCGGAAGGTATTAAACTGATCAGAACAATACTAAACACACTACTAATAAGGTTTCTCTCCTGTATGGCTCCTCAAATGATGCTTAAGATTAGAAGCGGCTGAAAAGCATTTCTCACACTCAGAACAAAAATATATTTTTTTAACATTCTCTCCACTTTGAACGAAATGACGTTTGGGAAGAGATTAACATAATTAAACACAGGCAGTAAAAATACAGTTTTTAGCCATACACTGTAACTTTAAAACTACACATCCCATCTTCATAATTACATATTTGGAATCAGCACACTTAAAACATAAACATAACCAAAAATCAGCCAAATCCATCCAGGGGTTAAAAAGTTAGCTGGAGGTCCCTTTATGACCGACCGCAAGCACATTTTCCTGCCCAAAACAGTTCCATAGATTTGGGCTGTGAGGTCGGTCTATTTCAGGCTGAAAAAACGACTAAGTCCCATCGCGAATGGGACTTAGTCTCTGCAGCTGAAATAAGGCTGAAAAAAACGGCTGAAAAAAAGACTAAGTCCCATCGCCGAATGGGACTTAGTCTCTGCAGCTGAAATAATTTCCCATTTACTGAACCAAGTGGGAAATAGCAAGGCAGGCACAAAGGGTTTGCACCAGGTCTGGGGACACAGGGGACACCGTCTTAAAGGGGCCGTGTCCCCAACAAGTCTGGGGACACGGCCTTAAAGGGGCAGTGTCCCAATCTTCCTGATGTCCCAAAAAAGGTGTTTAAAGGGCCAGCACCAGTCACATAAAGAGTCCATAAGCCCCAATATGCCCACCGACAGTCTTAAAGGGCCATACACACCAAATAAAAGTGCATACATTTTCACAATCTCCCAGGGGCCATAGTCATGCGGGAGGAGGCTGGCAAAGTAGGCTTCTCCACAACCCAGGGAAGCAGGGCAATTTGCCATTTAAAGGGCCCGTTACAAATAGCAGTTTGTAACAAGGTGTCAATCCATATCTGCCAAGTGACCCGATGTAGGGGGACCAGTCCCTATTCTGCTCTGTGTCAGTGTGTACCAGGGAACCTTAGGACAGGTGTCAATCCATATCTGCCAAGTGACCCGATGTAGGGGGAACAGTCCCTATTCTGCTCTGTGTCAGTGTGTATCAGGGATCCTTAGGACAGGTGTCAATCCATATCTGCCAAGTGACCCTATGTAGGGGGACCAGTCTCTATTCTGCTCTGTGTCCGTGTGCATCAGGGGCTCTGAGGACAGGTGTCAATCCATATGTCAAGGTGTCAATATGTCATATGTCAGGTGTCAATCCATATTGATTGTGATTTAGGAATGTTAGGTGATTTCTGCCCTTTATGGATTAAAACCAGACTCTGTATCAACTGTGTAATTTTCCATGGGAGTTTTGCCATGGATCCCCCTCCGGCATGCCACAGTCCAGGTGTTAGTCCCCTTGAAACAACTTTTCCATCCCTATTGTGGCCAGAAAGAGTCCCTGTGTGTTTTAAAATTCGCCTCCCCATTGAAGTCAATGGCGTTTCGGGCGGTTCGCCGGTTCGCGAACATTTGCGGAAGTTCGCGTTCGCCGTTCGCGAACCGAAAATTTCGGGTTCGCGACATCACTATTGGTCGGTTGGCACAGAGGGAGGAGGAAGAAGAACCAGGAGTAGTGAAATAGTCTTTTACTGAAAAGATGGGGGTATAGAACCAGGATCTGTCACACTTACCTCAACCAGTACTCTCTTGGACTCTGATGTGGTCGAACGTAACCAGATCGGTGGACCACTACCGTCGGGTTATGTACAGGTCTGGGGCTGGTGGAGCACATTATTTGTGGCTTCTTCACCTCTGGAACTATTTATTCTACTTTCCCCGAGAATTGAGTGGGCTGAGAAACCTGTCCTTCTGGCTTTTGCCACCTAGAAATCAGACCAGTAAATGATTTGTTCACACTGTTGGTCTTTTTAAATTTCTTTTATGTTTCTTAAGCCAAATATACGAAATAGTATAAATTGTTTTTTATTTTGTGACTAATCAGTCGCTAATCTCTCACATTCATCACTACCTTTCAGTGGTTTACTTGCTACTTATTAAGCTATGCTACTTGTGAGCATTATATAATTAAAAAATTGTGCAGATCCTTCCACATGTGTCTTACATTTAATCTGATACCTCTCTTATTTTTCAAGATGACATGTCTATACCTGTTTGTGATTTTGTCATTGCTACAAAAATAAAAATGAAAATAAATAAAATAAAAAAAAAGTTATGCTTCACTTTTGAATGATTTAATATTTTAGGATAAGCTTTTCAAATGACAATGTTTTTGGATAAAGTTGTTAAATGTTTTTAATATTTTATATATTAATATACTTCTTATATATTATGTATTTTAATATTTAAAAAATATAATTTAAAAGATTTACCACAAAAAAACCAAAAAAACAATTATTTTATTTGAAAATCATATACAAAAATATATAAAATTGCCTAAATCGAAACGGCAGGACAATACACCGAAATTAGGACGGTCCCCAAAAAATTGGGACTGTTGAGAGACCAGTTACCTTCACCCCACTAGGCAATGGATAAAGGTTAAAATAAATGTATAATCTCCATCAAATACAAATGTTCTGTATCATCACCATCAGCAGCAAATGAAAGTGATTACTTTAGTATATCTTGGAAATGTATATCAGAATTATCAAGGTGCGGATTAAGCCTTTTTTTGCTGAATAACCCGAGTAATATGTGTAATTGTATGATGGACTATTTAAATACAGATGGAAAAAATAGTTATCACCTGCTAAATGTAAATAAACAAATATATATATTTGGAGAGCGGATATATATATATTTAGGTGGATAAATATATTTATATTGAGGGTAGATTTATATTAATAGAATTTTTTATTTTTTTTGGGTAAATAGAAAAAAAAATAGAAACCTTTAATTAGATGGCGCATGCGCCTTAGGGTACATCCAAGTGGCACGCATTGCGTTCCACGGCAGGAGGAGTTCACGACTAGCAGTAAAGCCGCGCTCCCGCCCTTCTGAAGCTGTCCAAGCAATGCCCGTATATCCGCATTGCATTGTATTTCATTTTCAATAAAATTGACCTACCCCACATAATAAACACGGAGTGCTCTATGAACTGCTTACTGTAACTTTAAGCGTAACTAAAGGGAACGTTAGTTTCAATGGCTGTGTCTCAGTAGATAGGACCAGGCGCGGTGTTCGCGCCCTTAGAGACCGTTGTCAGGGAAGGAGGAAGAGGAGGCGGAGGGAAGAGGAAGAAGCAGCTGCAACATGGCGGAGGTAAGTTTATGTTATTGTGCTTACATTGTTGTATACATATCGGAATATCCATAATGCTTTGGTGCTTGGTATCTGTGCGGGCGAAACCTTTAACTACTCTGTATGAGTGAGCAGGCCGTGATAAGTGTGAATTGTGTGTCTGTGTGTAAATATATAATAAGGTGTGTGAGTGGGCCCGAGTACCGTGGAGTCAAACACCCCCTGGCCACTATTCTCTTCCAATTCAACTGCTCAAATATTTTAAGGACCACTATAAGCACCCAGACCACCTCAGCTCAATGAAGAGGTCTGGGTGCCAGGTCCCCCTAGTTTTAACTCTGCAGCTGTTAACATAGCAATGTCAGAGAAACTGCTATATGTTTACATTGCAGGGTTAATCCAGCCTCTAGTGGCTGTCTTCCTGACAGCCGCTAAAGGCGTTAACGCGACGCTCAATGCGAAAATTGCATTGAGCATGCAGAACGTCTATAGGAAAGCATTAAGTAATGTTTTCCTATGGGCCGTTTGAATGCGCGCGCGTCTCTGGCTGCGCATTCGGCTCCACTCGGGAGCTGACGTCGGAGGGGGAGGAGAGGTCACCAGCGCTGGGTTAAGGTAAGTGGCTGAAGGAACCTATATAGTGCCAGGAAAACGAGTTTTGTTTTCCTGGCACTATAGTGGTCCTTTAAATTGAACCTACTTTTCTACCTTATCTTTTGTTTCACTATAACTCACTCACCTTAGAACAGCAGCCCCCAAAATGTAGATCCCCAGATGTAGAACAACTTCCATGATGCTATGCATGGCTTTGAAAACGACAAAGCATCATGGAAGTTATAGTTTTAAAACATCTGGTGGATCTATCTTTTGGGCACCCTGCTCTAGAATGTAAGGTTATTTGAGCAGGGCCCCCAACACCATTTGTTCCTGTGTGTCTTACTTGTCTGGTTACAAATATGTGTCTGCTAGTCCACCCATTGTACACCGCTACAAAATTTGTTGGCACTTTGTAAATAATAATAATCACATCTCTCGAAATACTGCATACAATGAAATACTGGAAAATAGTTATCGCTTTTGTTAAAATTGTTTTGCTTGTGATGCTCTGTAGTGTTGGATAAGTCCTTATTTGACCCATGGTTCTGTGACATCATTTTTGGAACGGTCTGCTATTTGCATAGCAATATGCTAGTCTGTAAAAGATTTAGCATTTGACATTAGAAAACAGTCCTGGCACCTGGACTTTGGGGCTTCGTTCAGGAGAGCTAGTGACTGGTCCCGAGTAGACACTTCAAGCTCTCCTGGAGGCTGCAAAGAGGTGGACCCCAGGTGAGAAGTCAGACCGTTCTATAAATCATCTAGGACTGGTACATAGTTCCCAACCACCACCTCACTATAAAAAGGACTACATTTACTCCTCCAGCCCATGCCTGTCTAACACCCCTTTTGATGGCCCAGGAGTCATCACAGACCAGCAGGAAACTCAGAGGCATGGCACGCCTGACAGGGAGCAGTCCATAAACTCTCTAAAATCTACTGGTTCCCGGAGTTGCCGCAGTTTGGTAAAACTTTGGCGTGGGCGCTCTCTGCCCCAGAGTCATCAAACAGGGCTCTATTTGGAGGGATGATTGCGTAGGTGGTGAGTTATTGAACAAGACAAGACTTGAGGGACCTCCAAGTACCAGTGTGAAAGCACCTTCATTTAAGGTGACTGAGACTTACCACCCAGCACTCTGAAATTCTGCTCCAGATCGGAGGATGGTTGCAGCCCTGTCAAGATTTGCATTCAGTTTACTTGGGTTAGACACATCCGATCCGAGTGCTTTTTGGACAGAATAGGCGATCAGAGGAGAGCTTTCCAGGAATTGCATTGGTTTAGGGGTGCAGATATGGGATCCCCAGTTTTTATGCAAAAATTAGGCGCAAAGGTATCGGACACTGACACTTAGGTGCCAGACGTTATGCAATACATATTGGTGTCCCCCTGTTGGGTTCCCAGGTATAAAAGAGTGTCACTTGTCCCAATAAACCAGTTCTTATTCACCCTTTACAAAGTCTTGGCTAGTGTTTGGGTGGAACAGCGATATTGGCTATAATCTCTGAGCTACATTCACTCGGGCTATAATAACAAGGTGGAAAGGGGACCTTGGCAGCGACATACAAGCTTTCTGCAGATATGCTGTTAAAGAGAGGTTCTTCAACCACTCAGGCTACTTCTGCACTGCATACCTCTCCTTCCCCTGCAATGTCAGGGAGAAGGCATGGCCTTCTCAGCAATGGGCCAATCCAATGTTCTTCATAGAGGAGCATGGGGGACTTAATGCACATGTGCAGCGAGCAACATGTGAGCATTCAAACTTTCCCATAGGAAAGCAATCAGTTTTTCTATGGGGCCTCTGTGTAACAGGACAGTTTTTCTCGGTCAGTGCAGCTGAAAAGCCTCTATTAGCTGTCATACGGACAGCCACCAGATGTGCATTTAACCCTGCAATGTAAACCTCAGGGACACTGCAGCCAGACCACTTCACTGAAACGAAGTGATCTGGGTGACTATAGTTTTAAAGTAAGGCTAAAATAGCCAACATGTGACAGATCAGGCTTGATCAGGGTGGATAAAAAAAAAAGTGTATTTAACTCTTTTGTTGAATGTAGGGAGGCTAATACTAGTAGGGACAGTAACACTATTATGTTAGGAATACAGTTCTATTCCTAGGAATTTGTATTCCTAACGTCCTGATCCTTTAAAGGAACATCCTAATGTTAGTGATACAAATGTGTTCCTAATATTATTGCTGTGGTTGTGATAAAAATTAGGTTCCTGGCACTGGCCACTCATCACAAACTTGTCTTTCAATATCTTTTACCAACATAGAATGACTTGGCATTTGCAACAATGGAGAGGCTAGATACAACTAATTGAATGCCACATTCTATTTTGGTAATGGATCTAATAATCAGATTTGTTTTACTGGATAGATTAACACTGGTCCTTTAGAATGGTAATTTCAGATTGTTGAACATATAAATTAAAAACCTGGATTCACTTTAGCACTCTGAATTGTGTAGCAATATAAATACGAATTACTCTGTTCCTTATAAATACTGCTATGAATTAGAGCCCCGCTGCAAATATGTATTTCATTCATTAAAACAGAAAAAGGATCCATGAGTGGCGGACTTTTATTATGGTTGTCTGAGATCCTGATTGCTTGAATGTTTTAGCATTTGAGCCACTGCATTATGAGGCACAGACTGACATATTTGTAAACCTAGGAATTTAAACATAGCAATGAACAATAGAAAAGATAATCCCAGTACAATTACTAATTATTAAGCCACCCAACTATCGTAGAGCATTCTTTTAATAATGTAGGTAAGCTAACTTGGTTACACTCTGGCATCTTTCCTGAATTAATCATATACTTATAAGTTCTGTAACTTGGTTCTTAACATGCTTTTCTCTTTTCTTCCACAGGCAGAGATCGTAGAGGGATGCAGACTGCCTGTTCTACGCAAAAACCAGGACAACGAAGTAGAATGGCGTAAGTAAACACTAAAACACTTTACTTAACTTTACAAAGTCTAGAGGAAAATTTTAAAGGACCACTATAGGCACCCAGACCACTTCAGCTTAATGAAGTGGTCTGGGTGCCTGGTCCAGCTAGGGTTAACCCTTTTTTTTTTTTTCTTCAGAGAAACTGCTATGTTTATAAATAGGTTAATCCAGCTATGTTTATAAATAGGTTAATCCAGCCTCCAATCTTGACAGCCGCTAGAGGCGTTTGCGTGCCTCTCACGGTGAAAATCACAGTGAGAAGACGCAAGCGTCCATAGGAAAGCATTATGAATGCTTTCCTTTGAGAGTGGCTGTGCGCGCCGCTCCTCCTGCCGCGCATGCGCATTCAGCCGAGGAGGAGGAGAGCTCCCTGCCCGGCACTGGAGAAAGAGGTAAGTTTAACCCCTTCCTCTCCCCAGAGCCCGGCGGGAGGGGGACCCTGAGGGTGGGGGCACCCTCAGGGCACTATAGTGCCAGGAAAACAAGTATGTTTTCCTGGCACTACAGTGGTCCTTTAAGCTTTTGGCACAGTGTGTTCTGTTTTTTTTGTGTTTAATTTGTACCTGCATAGATATCTGAATCCATGGTAAAGATGAGACCGGGGGATATGATAGAAACATTTAAATACATAAAGAGAATCAACATAGTAAATGTGGAGACTATATATGAGAAGAAAAACTACCACAACAAGAGAACATAGTTTTAAAATAGAGGGGCAAATGTTTAAAACTAATATCAGGAAGTACTACTTTACTGAGAGGGTAGTGGACGCATGGAATAGTCTTCCAGCTGAAGTGGTAGAAGTTAACAAAGTGAGGAGTTTAAGCATGCGTGGGATAGGTATAAGGCTATCCTAAACTTAAAGGGACACTGTAGGCACCCAGACCACTTCAGCTCATTCAAGTGGTCTGGGTGCAATGCCCCATGTCCCTTAACCCTGCAATAGTAATTATTGCAGTTTCTGAGAAACTGCAATAATTACCTCTTAGGGTTAAAGGGATTCTCCAGTGCCAGGAAAACATATTAGTTTTCCTGACACTGTAGGACCCTCTAGTGCCCCTCTACCTCCCACACCCCATCCCAAGTTGCGCTCACACCCCCCCTCCCTCGGCGCTGGGTCAGGCTCCTCCCGGGAGAGACCTAATGCGCATGTGCGGCAATGGCCGCGCACGCGCATTAGACCTCCCCATAGGAAAGCATTGAACAATGCTTTCAATGCTTTCCTATGGGGATATTGGCGACGCTGGAGGTCCTCACATATCTTGAGGACGTCCAGCGTCGTTTTAAACCACTTTTCGTGTTCTATGAACACGGAAGTGTCCTCTAGTAGACAGCCACTAGAGGAGGACTTAACCCTGCAATGTAAATATTGCAGTTTATGAAAACTGCAATAATTACACTTGCAGGGTTAAGGGTAGTGGGATTTGGCACCCAGACCACTCCAATGGGCAGAAGTGGTCTGGGTTCCTGGAGTATCCCTTTAATTCCACCTCTAGTGGCTGTCTACCAGATGGCCACTAGAGGGACTTCCGGAATCGAAACGGACCTCCAGCGTAAGATTTTTTTTTTTTTCCCATAGGAAAGCATTGAATAATAAAATAAAAAATAAAAAAATCCTTATGCAAGCGTGGCCATTGCTACGCATGCGCATTAGGTCTCCCCCGCCGGCTGACGTGGGTGGAGTCTGACCTAGCGGCGAAGGGACATCGGTACTGAATTCAGGTAAGTGACTGAAGGGTTTTTAACCCCTTCAGCACCGTGGGAGGTTGGGCATGAGGGAGGGGGGCACTGCAGGAGCCTATAGTGCCAGGAAAACTGGTTTGTTTTCCTGGCACAATAAAATCCCTTTAAGGTTAGGTCAGGGACTAATGAAAGTATGAAGAAAATTGGGCAGACTAGATGGGCAAAACATTTATCTGCCGTCAAATTCTAACTTTCTAAGTTAATTATTGTTTAGTATTAAGCATGGGCTGTGGAAAATGTGCATATATATGTGTTCAACAATAAAAAAATGTTAATGCTGAAAAATAAACACCATCCATAAAGAGAACCCAGCTCATTGTACTGACTAGATAATGTGTGAAAGTTATAATAATTTTGTAGCCTGGAGTGTACTTGTAATGCTCATTAATAGCACTCTACTTGATTAAAACTTTAAAAACAAATATGAAACGATTACAGATTTTCTTTTCCGTTATGCTGCAGCAGAGGAATGGGTTTATATGTAACATACTGATCTCTCTACACATTGTCCCTTTGCAGCACTGGCGGAAATCCTGAGTGTCAAGGACCTGAGTGGGAAGAAGCTCTTTTATGTTCATTATATAGACTGTAAGTGAACATCTGCGATACTAGGAACAGAAAGTGTTGTGTTAAATTGGCACAGTGTTAACCCCTTAAGGACACATGACATGTGTGACATATCATGATTCCCTTTTATTCCAGAAGTTTGGTCCTTAAGGGGTCAATGCAGTCTTTTTTTTTTTTTTTTTTTCTGTGGCTGGAAAAAGCAAAGTAGCTTGGCACCTCTATAAATCACAGTGGAATTTTATGGGCTTGGTAGGTCAACCTTTGTATTTCCATAGCTGGTGAATTGAAACAGCTGGATGCTACTCTGTATTACAAATTAAATCAAATCCTGGCTAAAAATGAAATTATACACATGTTGTGTGCAACCTAAAACATGCCCTTCTTTTTATCTTTATTATTTTCTGGAAAGCTGCCTATTCTGTATACACAAACATGGTAGCAAAATTGGCAACTGATTTTCTGTCAGATTGATGAGGAGATGCTAGGCTTTTCTGGCACAGACTGGTGTCCTCTGCAAATGTCTAATAATTCCATGTGTGGAGGTTAAGTTAAATGCTTGTGCTGGATATATCAGCAATATAACAGTCTTTTGTTTTTATTTTTTTACCATATAATCTTGCATTTACACTTCATGCTTATTTAGCATTTTTGACTTTTTTTTTTTTAACACTTGATTCTTATTTTCTCAAACTGCTTCCTTTTTTGTTTTTTGTTTTTATATAAAGTTAACAAGAGGTTAGACGAGTGGGTCACTCATGACCGCTTGGACCTAAAGAAAATTCAATTTCCAAAAAAAGAAGCAAAAACGCCAACAAAGAATGGGCTGTCTGGATCTCGACCAAGTTCGCCAGAACGAGAAGTGGTAAGCTTCTCAAGCATTCCCTTACCCCAACAAAATTCTATAGCACTTACCAAGGTGAGAAGTACAACATAAGTACAGCAAAAGTTAAAATAAAATAATAGAGAGAAAAAAAACAACCTCATCAAATTATTCTGAAATGCTTTAACAGTGCAATGCTCAGGATTTACTTCTAATGTGCTATTTGTTCTTATGCTCACAGTGGGGGTTAAATTTGTTTGCATGGGTTCCACAGTCTATGCCAGGATAGACAAGCATATATACAATGAAAATTAGGAATCCATGCAGGACTAGGATAACACGAAAAAAATTATGTTCTTGATTGCTGAGGGGAAAAAGCTTATTTTTAACTGAAGCTGTTATCCCTAGGCCATTTTAAGGTGATTATTTAATTAGTGCATTAAGAAAATGGTGCCACTTCCTGCCTGAAGTGAACCCTTAATATTCAGTTGTAGCACACTACAAGATGAAAAGTCAGTTGTTTGTAATGAACTTGATAATTTGAGCATTCATCGATCTGCTAAATTGGTTATATTTTTGAATTAACATGACTTCATTTTCCAGTGATTTGATCTTTGCTACAGAAAATACAGACTTAAATACAATCTGTTAGCCATTTGGGAAGTTGAATGTACGCTTACAATTAAAACAATGGTTTTTCAAGTGTTTTTATCTGCAGAAGAAAAAAAAATGCCACTATTGGTACTAATAATGCCTGTGGAAGAATTGAACTCAGACTGTGATGAACCTAGAAGAGAAGTTTATTTTTTCAGCAGGATCTTGCTATGAGATAAAGTAAATATGCATGCATCTCTCAGACCATCGCGACTTGTTTATATCATTCTTTAATTAAGCAGGTGCAGAGGAAGATTCCTGAACTTATCCTGCCTCCAGTTACTGCCCCTGCAGGAGGAGGGAAATCACTCCCTGTGCCGGTAAAATGCCTTTTGTTTTCATATTACACTTTTGCCTCTAATCTGCCTCTCTGGTTTTTGTATGCCCAAATTAAATCTGTTACATCCTGCACCACCTTGCCGTATAAAAACATTTTACTGTTTCCATTTTCGTCCATTGTTAATGTTTCTTTTAAAAATCTTTTGCATTTATCTCCTTCTAGAAAAGGAAAGTAGAAGTGGTATCGCCAGCAACTCCTGTTCCACCAACTCCAGAGACCACCCAGGCCTCGGTCTTCCCACAGGTAAAATCCTCAGCATTTAAATCCTTATCACTGATTTTTAAGTTTTTTTTTGTTTGTTTTTTGCACACACTGAAATCCTACGTTATTTATTAACATATTTCAATTCTAATGAAGGTGGATTCCTTACAAGTACAATATTTAAAGGGATACTATAGTCACCAGAACAACTGCAGCTTATTGAATGTGTTCTGGTGAGTAGAATCATTACCTTCAGGCGTTTTGCCGTAAACACTGTCTTTTCAGAGAAAATGCAGTGTTTATATTACAGCCTAGTGATAACTTCACTGGCCACTCCTCAGATAGCTGTTTGAGATCCTTCTTGGGTCATGGCTGCATAGAATGCATCCAATCATTCAGTATCTCTTCCCTCTGCATGCAGACACTAAACTTTCCTCATAGAGATTCATTGATTCAATTCATCTCTGCTATCTGAAAAAATAACCCAGTGGGAGCTGTCACTGGATGCAGAGTTCTGCATGGGACGAACACCTAGTCTAATAAAATATCTCTAGTTTGATCTTAAAAATCACTTTCAGACTGATTAAAGGACCACTATAGTGCCAGGAAAACAAACTCTTTTTCCTGGCACTATAGGGTCATTAGATCCCCTCCCGCTGGGCTGAAGGGGTTAAAACCCACTTACCTTTCTCCAGCGCCGGGCTCCCTCTGTGCTGGGCAACTCTCCACCCTCTGCCGACATCAGATCCGAATGCGCATGCGTGGCAAGAGCCGCGCATGCTTTCAAACCACCCATAGGAAAGCATTACTCAATGCTTTCCATACCACGTCCAGCATCTTCTCACTGTAATTTCAGTGAGAATCGCGGAAGCACCTCTAGCGGCTGCCAGTGAGACAGCCACTAGAGGCTGGATTAACCCTCAGTGAAACATAGCAGTTTCTCTGAAACTGCTATGTTTTCAGCTGCAGGCTTAAAACTAGAGGGACTTGGCACCCAGACCACTTTATTGAGCTGAAGTGATCTGGGTGCCTATAGTGGTTCTTTAACTGTTTACTTCTTAAGAAAAAGTATGAAAAATGTTAAAAACCAAAGCTTTGCTGTTATTCCCATTCAAAGGAAAAGCTCCAAACAAGAATTTTACGATTAGTTGCTAAACCATATGAAAACAGGCCCACGTTACACTTGCTGAGAATAATCAGAGCTTAAAGCGGCACTACAAGCAGACTTTTGAAAGCATTATATAGAAAGAAAACATGCATTTGAATAGTGAAAGAAAAAGAACAATGTGAACATTCTTCTTTTGGAGATTTTAACAGGATCTAATCAGTGCCCTCTTTCTCATGGAAACCAGGAACTGTCTGAATTCTCAACCAATTTTGTGTTGTCTAACTTTTTTTGGTGAGAATTAATGAGCATGCAACATGCATCATGGCATAATACACATGTCATTGGAAACCCTATATTTGCAACCTTTCATTGGTTTTTCATAAATGATTAAGAAAAATGTTATTGATAGAACAGGTTATAGTGTCAAGTTAGGTTTTCAGTCAGAGTATTTCACTTGTTCCTGGAAGTGAGAGACTGAGGACAGAATGTGTTTTTCTTAATGTGGTTTGTGCTCTCCTAGATTTGTAGATCACATATTTAAATTTGCACACCAACTACCTAAGCATGTATCTTAGCTGAGCAATTAAAGGTAGAATTATGATTACATTTGACTTAATACTCAGTCAAAAGGCTGCATAGAGCAGAATGCAGACATGTATTGTGAACAGTATGATACGGGGGACAATTTCAAGGCAACAGTTTAGATTAAATGTGGATTTACTTTATGGTCTTCTAATTTTTCTTTACAGAATGGAGCAGCACGCAGGCCTAGTGCCCCCACTGTACCAGCTGGACGGAAGCGAAAGTCAAATAGCCTGAGTGCAGATGAGGTGAGAATTAGAAGTACAAGTTGTTCATGCAAAGTGTTCAGAAACCTCCCTCTCCCTCTGAGTAGATTAGTGCGCTGTACACTGAAAATGAGACTGCCTAATTGAGCTGATCACAAAGAGATAACATGCCATTGTCATCAGGTCGCTTAGCACTTTGCTGGAATTTTATTTATATTTCTAAGCCATGGCACACATCATTGACTGGATGACTGGTCACAAATTAAGCTAACCCTTTAAACCATAGATTATCTCTGGTATTTTCTGTTATACATCATGTTTTACAAACACTTCACACTTGTTATTTTTCTTTTCCCACGCTGCGAGTGAACATTTAACTTATTTAGCATGTCACTGTCATTTCATGACTTTGTTTTTCTAAGGGTCTTGACTGTTTATCACATTCACAATAACATTGCCATCAGATATTTTTTTTTTTTTGGTTCATGAGTAGAATAAACAGTGTAATGTCCCTGTCAACTACTAATTTTTGTATTGCTTAGTCATAGAGTAAGAATGGGGGAGGATTCTGAACACCCTATTTCAGTGCACACTATATATATATATATAAATATACACTTCCCAGTGTGTATATATCTGTACACGTGTCTCCCTTACAATATGTGACGAAGAGACGCTGGTCTGTTCCGATCCCTTCTCCCGGGCCAAGATTTGTGGCGCCCGGCCCCACCCAAGAGGATGCTGCTGCCCCTATATCTGAATTTATGGGTTCCCCGGAAGAGGTAGGTCTTACCCTGATCTGTGTGCTCCCTGGAGTTAAGTGACCTAATGACAGAGACATGTTAAGAATCGTTACTAAGGAGAACAGTGACCAACATAAATTAAGTGTAAAGATTAAATGTTCAAGACAATTATCTAGTGACATTTGGAAATTATTTTGGCCAGTGCTTCCTATGATTGTAGTAACTTTGTGACAGTGACGTTTTGAATGGGTCAACATGTAATCAGTGTGACTGTGACGTGTATTATTGGCTAAAACACCAGTCCTGCTTTACCTTTGCCCACCACTGCTGTTCTAGGATTCTCAGGACAGCTCCGATGGTATCCCCTCTGCCCCTCGAATGACAGGAAGCTTGGTTTCTGATCGTAGCCATGATGACATCATTACTCGAATGAAGAACATTGAGTGCATTGAGTTGGGCCGCCATCGCCTCAAGCCTTGGTATTTCTCTCCATACCCTCAGGAACTGACTGTACTGCCCGTCCTTTACCTTTGCGAGTTCTGTCTCAAATACTTAAAAAGCCTTAAATGTCTACAGAGACATTTGGTAAGTGCACATTATCACACCTGAAGCTCTTCTTGAGATTGGGGTGATGTGGGGTGTTGACTTTTGGTGGGTTGCAGGTGCAATTTTAGTTGGATGCACAAGACCAGTTTACAATTTATTTTCAATCTCCCTTCTTAAAATTGCAGACCAAATGTAACCTACGGCATCCCCCTGGGAATGAAATCTACAGGAAAGGAACAATCTCATTCTTTGAGATAGATGGACGCAAGAATAAGGTGAGAGAGACTCTGGAACCTTGGTTCTTATTTAAAATAATATCACATACAGATAAGTCTGTCAATATTTCAAGCATTCAACTAGGAGTTTAGAAAGAGCAAGGTATCTATAAAGGGACACTAAGCACCAGAACCACTACACCTTAATATAATGTTCTGGTGCAAAGAGTCTTTCCCTGCAGGCTGACAGTTTTTTTAGATGAGGCAGTGTTTACATTTGTCCATAAGGTCACCTCTTGCATCTGTCATTCAGATGGCTTCTACTGGCCCTTCCTGGTGTGTGTTTGTGTCTTTATGCTCTGCGTGAAGGTGCCATCTGCTTCCTTTAGAGATTCATTGATCTAATGCATCTCTATAAGTATATGCTAATTGATGCTTTAAAAAAAAAACATTAGCGGCAGATAGGGGCCTAAGTGATAATGGGATCCACCCACGTAAGTATTTTATTAGGTTGCCATGTGCCAGGTCCCCCTTCATTAAATTGTGGGGGTCTTTTCTAGTAGACATGCCCCTATTCGCGGCGTAGGGGCAGGAGGGAGACTTTACATAGCTGAAAAGAGACTTGTGTCCATTAAGTTCAGCCTTCCTCACATTTGTTTTTTGCTGTTGATCTAAAAGAAGGCAAAAAACCCAGTTTGAAACACTTCCAATTTTGCAACAAACTAGGAAAAAAATTCCTTCTTGACCTCAGAATGGCAGTCAGATTTATCCTTGGATCATGCAGCTATTACCCTGAATATTCTGTTTTTGCAAGTATGCATCTAGGTGTTGTTTCAACATCTGTATGGACTCTGATAAAACCACTTCTTCAGGCAGAGAATTCCACATCCTTATTGTTCTTACAGTAAAAAACCTTTTCTTTGCCTTAGACGAAATCTTCTTTCTTCCAGTCTAAAAGCATGACATCGTGTCCTATGTAAAGTCTGGTTTGTGAATAGATTTCCACACAATTGTTTAACCTCCCTTATACTAATATTGACCCCATATAATGAGAAGGGAATTTAGGAAGTGGTGGGGAGCTTAGCTCCACCAACTTCTAATTTTACATATTACCTGGAGGGAGTCACAAGCCAGTAGTAATAAACTACACAAACGAAGTCATAATTTTTGTAATTTCTATTTGTTCATTCGCCTTTTTGACAAATGGATGAATAGCTGAAATTCGTAACAAAAGCGACTTTCAAAGCGCAAGCTAGAGTAGGCAGATGAAGGCCCTGCGGCACACGTCATCCAGAAAAACAAAGATGGCGCCGCCTAGGACCTAGATCTGGAGAAGAAATGAAGCTATATTTAAAAAAAAAAAAATAGTGGACTTAGAGGCATTTGAGGTGATTTGGGGAACAAGAAAGGAGGAGTTGGGTTAAAACACAAAAAAGGAGAACAAGGGGATGTCATGACAGTCTTGCTTTCATGGGCCCCCTAGAAGTAATTGGGAAAAAAAACAACTTGCCTTATTTTCCCTGAAGCCCCATCCCTGCTGGCTTTGAACTTCAGTTCACCACAGGGAAGCATAGGGGGGCTAATGCATGTGGTCAAATATATATTTAGTACATTTGCAGAAATATAGAAGATGTGAAAAATTACGTTGTGTGGTTTTAGTTGCATGTGCACATGGGTATAGATGAATGTGTGTTTGTGAAGATATGTATACATTACAGGTACTCCTCAATTACCGACCGGGTTCATTTCCTACGGCCCGGTCATAGAACGAATTGGTCAGTAAGTGAGGAGTTAAGGGATTCCCTGCTCGTGTGCGCTTGTCTATGTTTGGGGAAATTTCACCGAACATAGACAAACGCACACGAGCAGGGAATCCCTCTAATCTATGGAAATGGGAAATGTCCCTGAACATAGACGAACGCAGCAGAGCAGGGAATCCATCTAATTCCCACGACGGCTCACACTTACCACCGCGCGAGAGAGCAGGTCGTAAGTGCGAGCTGTCGCAAAACGAAGACCACCTGTACAGATGGAGATGTTTTAGTAGAATTGAGGTTTCTGGGTAGGTGTGTCTATATATGGTGTGTGATTTTAATTTTAAACCAGTTTACTTGAGCTGGTGGCTGGGTAATAGAGCTGCGAGCACTGAACACGTGATTGATGGAAGTTTAACTCTCTGAGCATTGAAAATGTGACAGTCACCACAGTGCACCATTTCTTCATAGAGCTGCATTATACAATTACACCTCTAAGGGGACGTTCTATGTTTTCATCCTGAGAGTGAGGATGCTGAATGTCTGTTCTGCAAATATTGCAGGACTGTAATAAGAACCTCTAGTGGCTGTCTTGAGTGACAGTCACTAGAGCTAGTGTTTTTAAAGCAAAGGCTGCAGGGACAAGCTTTTCGCACAAAAACCACTGCATTATGTTTTAGTGTTTCTAGCACTTCTGAGTTTCCCCTCTGACTTCAAATGTGCTGAACTTGTGGGCAGCAGGATTTTTAACCCTGCAGCTTCTGGTTAGAGGTATCGGGAACAAATGTTGTATGTACCTCGCACTCTCTTGTATGCTTGGTCCCCATCCACTGCTTGGATCAGTCTGGCAGTTTGGAGCACCAAGCAAAATGGTCTAAATGTACTAATATGTTAGAGACTTGCCATTCATTGCTGGTCTTTTTTTTTAATTCCCATTTCAGAGTTATTCTCAGAATCTTTGCCTGCTGGCAAAGTGTTTTTTGGACCACAAGACCCTATACTACGACACAGACCCATTCCTCTTCTATATCATGACTGAATACGATTCAAAAGGCTTCCATATTGTTGGCTACTTTTCCAAGGTGTGCAGCTTTTTTGAAATGCCATGAATGCTGTGTTGCAGAGTAGATGTTAAATTTTTGCTAACCCATAATCATACAATTTTCTCTACTAGGAGAAGGAATCCACAGAGGACTACAATGTGGCCTGTATACTGACACTGCCTCCCTACCAGAGAAGAGGATATGGCAAACTTCTTATTGAATTCAGTATGTACCCTGAGATTCATACAATTCACAAATTTGTCTCTCTGAAATGCTTGTCTCTCATCACCTACCCTATCCTTCATTCTAGGTTACGAGCTTTCAAAGGTGGAAGGGAAAACAGGAACCCCTGAAAAACCACTATCTGATCTAGGACTTCTCTCATACCGCAGTTACTGGTCCCAGACAATCTTAGAGATTCTAATGGAACTGAAGTCAGAGACTGGAGAGAGACCACAAATTACTATAAAGTGAGAAGGGTTTGTGGGATAATTAAGGGAACATTTGTGTTAAAGCATCTTGAAAACCATGCTTGTCTAATGAACTGCATACCATACTGTAGATACCATGAATGCACAGAGTCTAGATGTGCTGAGAATAAAAGGTACAGTGTTGATTACATTTTTAAATGTGCTAAAATTGCTTTTTAAAACTTTTCTTTGCAGCGATATCAGCGAACTCACGAGTATTAAGAAAGAAGATGTTATATCCACATTACAGTACTTGAACCTTATCAACTACTATAAGGTAAACTGCCTTTTGCGAGGGTGGAAACCTGTCATCATAGTGAACCCAAACTATTTTTTCAAAAATCATACTCAATATTGGTACTCTTTTATGGAGATGTATATTTTCTGTCTGCATGTGTAATGTGTTTCACTGACGGCAATATTTATCACAGTTTAACAACTGTGAGGTGTTTGAAGTTCTCAGAGAAAATCAATACATACTTATTTTAGACTTTTAATATATAAACTCTTATTAGAAGCAAAAACAGCCTATTTTCTTGGTAACACCATATGTGTGACTTATTCTCCTTTGATAAGCCATGTTCTGATCACATGAAAGCCTGCAGTCTAAAATGTGGCATTTCTTTTCCTCTCTTTCCCCAGGGACAATACATCCTGACATTATCAGAAGATATTGTGGAAGGTCATGATCGAGCCATGCTCAAGAGAGTGCTGAGGATAGATTCTAAATGTTTGCACTTTACTCCCAAGGACTGGAGCAAAAGGGGAAAGTGGTAGAGTAGCATGGTTTTAGACAGGCAGGATATGAGGGCAAGAAGCAACTGAAAATGCAATGTGAAACTGGAAACCAGGTGGAAAATACAAATTAGGGCTTATTTGAACCTACTCATTACACTGTGGTTTTTGTTTTAGAAGTAGGGTTTCTGGTAGTTGTATTTATGAAAGGCATTGAGAAGTTGGGGTAAAGTGAAACGGTCATGGTTTCCCTTTTAGATATAATAGCTCTCAAGGCTGTAAATATATAATCTATTATCAGTTATATATTTGTGCTGTGGGACCTGTTATAGGGATACTCACCTGCTACTCCTTGTTCCAGTGCCTCCATTCTCAGGGTAGGTGGATGTTACACTGTTGTAACACCCACCCTCTGCTGGTGTTGTTGGAACTGCTTGGGGACACAACCATGCTGACTTCACTTGCTGAAAAACAATGTCAGTTCATCCTGTACTCCCGTTGCAAGAAGGAATAGCAGAGTGAAAGGAGCAAAGCAAATTTTCCTTCTCTCCCCTGCTTTTTTTACACATGAATGCCATTGAGGTCTAATGCAGAGAATTGTTTGGGGAAGGGACAGAACTTGAACCGGCATTACATTATCTGTTTACTAGCACAATATCTATAGATGAAATGTAATGTTTGATCAATTAAACCAAAGTTGTGTATTTTATGGCTGGTATTGTAACAAATTCAATTTTTCTATAGACTAATTACTTTAACTCTTAAACCCACATGATTAGTGTTAACATGCAGATATTTATTTGAATCCTAGTCTCAGTAAATGTCCAATTCTCTACCAACTGTAGTTGCTTCATTCAAATAAGCCCTTATTTCACGCTGGTTTTAGCTTGATGTAAGAGAAGTCAAATTAACAAGTACATGGAAGAGATTACAAAACTGTTACAAGGTATTCCAATTTTGCCACTTCTGATGCTGAAAATGTGGATTCTGAGCAGGAAGTGTGGACAGTATCGCCCAGTGTAATTAGAAACTGTAAATACAAGTGTTTTTATATCACCACTGTGCCGTCTATTTTATTTAAGTGTGGAAACTGTTAATACAGATCATAGTGTGTAAAGAGAGCGATGCATTCCTACTTAAAGAAACAGATACTGGTTATGGTAAGCACGTTTATTTTCTCACAGTTATCCAAATGTCTTCATTTTTCTAATCAACCGGTGCATGGATCTAGGGGGAAAAAAATAAATATATATACTTTACATTTGAAGCAATACTACACTCATACACCCTGCCCTAGGCCAGCTATAAATGGCTATTTTACCTTTATGTACAAACCCTTCCTACTGACCAAACATGGCATTAGGACATGGATGGGGCCTCTGCTCTGAAGTGCATCCCGGTTTCTACTTTATTTCAGGGCAGGATTTGTAGACAATCAAAAGTTACAGTTCATCAGTCACTCTCCCCAGTAAATGCGATTTCATTGTTTACTGAATAAAGAGTAAATAAATGGTAGAAATCATGCCTTCCTCCACTGCAATTCCATGTGAGGATGACTTTGCTTTTCCAGGATGCCTTGGGTGTACTCAGAATTTTTATTTGCAGCAGTGTCGTACTGGTGCATGCATATGTCACTGCAAGCTTAACTTATTCACAAACTTTGCCTGGTGTTGCCCAAAGCATGTAATAAAATAATTTTAGCACAAACATTTCATAATTTGGCTGTGCTAAACTTGGGGAAGGGGCGGTTCTAACTAAAGGATGCAGTTGATTCACAAAGCAAGCATGTTTGTAGTATTTACTGTTCTGCTGATGGCAGTATTGTAAAGACTAAGTAAAAATAACCCACAAATGATGGTATAATTTAAAGGAGCACAAACATGTATTCCTGACCCTATAGTGTTAATTTACCATATTGGTGGCTTACTCCCCCCCCTTAGAAAATAGTAAAACTCACCTTATTGCCAGAGCCCCAGGAAGCACCTCCCGTGGCCACAGTAAACACTGCCTTTTCTCTAAAAAGGCAGTATTTGCACAAAAATGCGTGAAGGCAATGATTATACTCACCAGAACAACTACATTAAGCTGTAGTTGTTCTGGTGATTATAGTGTCCCTTTATTATCATTTGCCAGCATAATGAAAATGTCACTTTACAGTTTATGTACTGTTTAACCCCCTTCCCGCCCTCGGACGTACCAGGTACGTCCGACAAAGAAATGGTAGTTAACGAGCTGGTACGTCCGATAGCAAATAGCCACTTACCTGATCGCTGGCGATCCCCCGCCGAACCCCATTGCCTGATCCGGCCCTCCCGTGCCATGTGATCGCAGGATCCTCGCAATCACATGGAAACGTTTTACAAAAGTTTAAAAAAGTAATTATATATATATATATATATATATATATAATTATTGCCCATTTTGTATACCCTGGCTTGTCTACATTTGAAAATGGTATGCCATGGGGGGCTGCCATACCGTCTCAAAAGTAACATAGCCAATCTGGCAAATAGTAATGTACAAAAACAGAAATTGGCAAATCTTATGTTTGACTCTGTAACTTTCCAAATCACCATAAAACCTGTGCTTTAGGGGTACTGTTGTACTCGTGAGACAATACTCTACACAAATAAGTGTTTTAGAGCAGTAAAATGGCAGTTTGTGTGAAAAATGCAAAAAAAATAAATATAAATGCTAATATTGGCCAGGGTTTGTGATTAAGTGGCTTCTAAAAAAGTCTGTCCAGAGAATTTTATTGGCAAGTCCTATATTTAACCCCGTAACTTTCCAAAACACTTTACGTGGGGGGATGGTATTGTTATACTTGGGAGATTTCGCTGAACACAAATGAGTGTTTTAAAAAGTAAAACTTATCACAACAATGATATCACCTGTAAAAATGCAAAAAAAAAAAAAATGCTAACTTTGGCCAGCGTTTGTGACTAAGTAGCTACTAAAGACTGGAAATACCCCATTTTAAATAACATACGTTGCCTACTTTTACAAATGTATGCCATGATGGGGTTAATTTTCATTCCTGGGCTTCTATATGGTCTCAAAGGCAACAGAGGCCCAAACCAGTCTGGCAAATTTCAATGTGCAAACATAGAAAATGGGAAAGGCCTACATTTGACCCCTGTAAGTTTGCAAAAATCCATAAAACGTGTACATTGGGGGCACTGTTGTACTCAGGAGATGTTACTGAACACATTTTGGGTTGTTTATCAGTAACACATAACAGGAACTGAGAATCCATGCCTAAAGTACAATGTGAGAGGAAAAACACAAAACAAATTACTACCCAAAAGTTTGACAGACTGGTGGTAGAATTAGTGCATGGAAAATGTTAAAATACCACCGTCTGAAATACCCTAGGGCAGGTGTACGCAACCTTCGGCACCCAAAATTTTGTGGACTACATCCCCCATAATGCTCTTACACCCATAACGCTGGCGATGTAGTCCAAAACATCTGGAGTTCCGAAGGTTGCCAATGCCTGCCCTACGGTGTCAACTTTTCAAAAATATATGGTTTGATGGGGTAAATTACATTGGCCGGCTTCAAAAATGTCCTAAATAGGACATGGGTGCATGATGACTAGCCGTGAAAACTGGAATGCGCACCCTCTAAATAAACCCCAGAGAACCTGACACACCTATACATGGGTGGAATCACTGTACTCAGAAGATTACGCCGACCACATATTGGGGTGTTCTTTGACAGTAACCCTTAAAATTCTCAGTTTTTAAATTGCTATGTGTGTCAAAAAATCAATTATTTTTTTCTTCTAAATTTGGCATAGATTGGTGGTAAAATGGTTGCATGAAAAGAATCAAAATACCGTGTGTTTAATACCTTGTCTTCTTTTAAAAAATATATACATGTGAAGGGTTATTCAGGGATTCCTGACATATCAGTGTTACAATGGTTTGGAAATCGCAAAGTGCTACTTGTACTTATTGCCCTATAATTTGCAAAAAAGTGTTAAGAACATGTTAATATTGGGCATTTCTAAACTCAGGACAAAATGTAGAAACTATTTAGCATGGGTGTTTTTTTTTTTTTGGCGGTTGTAGATGCATAACAGGTTTTGGAGGTCAAAGTTAGAAAAAGTGTTTTTTTTAAATCATATTTTATAAAACAAAATGTATAAATTATATGATAAAAATAATGGTATCTTTAGAAAGACCATTTAATGGCGAGAAAAACTGTATATAATTTGTGGGTACAGTAAATGAGTAAGTGGAAAATTACAGCTAAACACAAACACCACAGAAATGTAAAAACAGCTCTCGTCCCAAACGGTAAGAAAATTGAAAAGCGCCCTGGTCACTAAGGGGTTAATAAGTTTGAAAGGGATGGAAGAATAAACAGATTCTTGTGAATATATCAAGCACTTGGATGGGGTGCCTAAGCAGCTGCTTACATAATAGTATCACAAAAGCCCACCCCCTCTGACATGGTTTCTACTCACATATGAAAGGTATATTATCAATGTTAGTCACAAAAGCAGTGAGATTAGGACAGGGCTTTCAAACTGCATTTCAATAAGATTGAAAGAGTCCAAAATCATGCGTGTTAAGAGTTTTAACAGGTGAGAAAATTACAGAAGTCTCTGATTATGGCTATATTTAAAACCTTTACCCTTTTAGTAACCGTTTGAATTGGAAGCAGATTTCAATAGCTGTATTATCCAAGAAGCAGCTTAAAGCAATTCCAGAAAATTTCTTATACAAAGCCGCTCAAACATGTTGAGCTAGTCTGTATAGCAAAGCAATTCATCTCACTGTGTGTGTTTATTGAGTTAATGTCACGAACGTCGGTACACTATGGTCTCACGACACAAGGAAAATTAACTTTTATATACGTGATGTTATGCTGGGCTGTGTTTTTTTTATTTATCCTGCAACCACTTAGATATATGGATTACCCTAATCTACAGTAACACTATTTGAAATCTATCTCTCTCATATATATATATATATATATATATATATATATATATATATATATATATATATATATATAAATATGATAAAAGGTTGTCTTCTTCGTATTAAATCCTATGAATACCTTTTGACGTTGACTAATGCAGTGGCAGGGATTACAATTTCAAGTCCTAAACTACTAGCCAGGCCTTAAAATTATTTGCCACTGCAAGCCTGGAGTGTCCATTGTACATTTCTACTGCCAAAGCTAATTTACGTGTCGAAATAATGAACCCTACCAGTGGTATACATAAACTTTCATAAAGCTGTTGGATCAATATGTAGAACATATGTTACAGATATTACATGGTTTGAATCCATAAGCCAGGGGTGATGTGTACACCTGTAAATCTTGAATGCCTGAGTTAATTCATTAGTGGTGTATTTATATTTAAAAAAAAAAAAAAAAAAAAAATTAGTGAATTATGTTGTTCATGAGAAAGAAGAAAAAAAAAAAAAAAAAATCTGACTTTGTATCAAGAGGCTCTTACCACTGAAGCAATCTTTGGCCACTGCATTGACATTACAAGGATATCATCCTCAGAAGGTGGAGTCTCCAGATTCCATTGTGTGAAGGAGTTAAAGGTGGACCTGACTGTCAAACAGCGATCCTAATACAGAACAGACATATTACAATGATGATGAGGAGGTACTCTCGCCTAAATATCATTAATAGATTAAACATCTGCCAAAATGCACACTTACTAATTAATACAACATAGTATAATGGGTAAAAAGGTAAGTAGTTTATTACAATACACTTTTGGCATTCAGGTAAAATTGATGAGGAGTAGGCTTCGTGACGCATAAACAATGCGATACTCATGGCACTCACCCGTTAAAGAAACACTAAGCACCCCATAGCACACTGTAGTGATTTCGGTGCCCCCAATGTAAGTAATGTAAGCTTTTGGAATGGTTTGACTTATCACGTGGCGTCTGCCAAGTGCTGGTGCCTGCCTCTCAGAGAACCGGAAGTGCTCTGTCTGAGTTAAGGCTGGTGGTGCAGGGCTTTATAATTGGCTGACAGGGATCAGGAGATTATGGAGCATTGCTCAACAGGCCTCAAGTAAGGCAAACCATTCTAAAAACTGTTAGACTGCTTAGATTGTGGGTGTGCTAGGGCACTCCTGGAACAATAACAGCTATAGCATGCTGTATTGTTTATGGTGTGTTCCTTTAAGTGTGATGTATGGGTTGGGTATCAGTTATGCGGTATAGATTCTCAAAAAAAAAAAAAAAATGTACTTTTTTTATTGTTTTGCTCCATGAACCAAATGTTCTCCCCTTCTCTAATAACATTGGTATGTGATCTCATTTAGATGTACAGAAAAGACCTCTAGTAGGTGTACTTCAAGCTATTGCCTATATTAGAAAGCCAACAACCACAACTCCCAGAAACCTTCACTTTGCCTATAAAGCACAGTGTGGGAAAAGCGAGAGAGGGGGAGATGAGAAAAACATAACTGTCATAAGTGTATTACGACAAATAAAAACAATGAGTGAAAAGTAAATGGACAAATTATATTTTCCTCTCCACAGATCTCCTTTGCATATACGCCACTCGATGAAGGTGTTAATGTGCATGCGTGGCAAGTGCAGTGTGTATTAGGCCTCTCAATCGGAAAGCATTAAACATACACTGGAAAGATTAAGAAAACGGCTTTACCCTTAGCTGACCTTACAGCTTTGGTTTAATGTAGACCACCATCATGGCTATGGTCTCCTTAGATCTCCCCCATCCTCTTGCTGCCCCCTGAAGAGGTCTCTTAAGGTCTCTGCTTGTGCAGAGAAGCTGACAGCTTCCCCAGCACTGAGAGAGCTAATTATTATGGCAGTCTACCAATAAGACAACTATTGACCAAAAAAACCACAATAAAGACTACAAAGAAATTCAGCTCTTGTACCATCAGAGTCTCAGACCTGGAAGATTTATCAGAGATAAACATGCATGCAACCGCCTCTCCTCTTATAGCCTGTAACTAAACAGAAACTTGGGGTCACTGGGCAGGTATACTACCAAAAGATACAAATCAGTTCTAAGCTGACTGGCAAGTAAGTGTTAATCAACGAGTTACGGACCAATAAAATAGAATGCTATATCAATGTCTCTGTTTACTTATGCATTAAAACTCTCCCTTTCTTTTCATCAGTACCATTAACTAACCATTTTCACGTGCATCCCCTTAATAGTTTGATCTATACACACATGCATCCTCTCTTTACATTTTGTCTAGGTCCTAACTTTTGACCTTGGCTCCTAAATGTTACGGAAAGTTCTTATTTAATCATTGGATACCTGTTACCGGTATGTGTCCACTGCTTTGTGTACAGCTTCTGTATGCAACAGTCGATCTCTATAAATAACTGAATAGTATGTTTGATAACAGGCCATAAAAAAAAAAAAATATATATATATATATATATATATATATATATGTTACTGTCACATTTGTAAAACTGACATTACCTCCTCATCAGAACATGGCTTGTGATTTTCTTTTAGGACAACTCCAACAAAACCAGCAGGAACAGCCACCTCCTGCCCTCTTAGCACACGGCCACGGAAGGATACCTCTTTGCCTGTAGTGAAACGGATATTATGTAAATAGTTACTTTCCCCCCCTACTTACTGAATGTACAGCAACATCTTCACTGGATGTAAAATTTGTGACTGGAGAGCCGAAGCAAAAATCCTCTACAGATTTCCCTCAATAACTTAATTGAGCAAAAAAAGATGTTTACATTAGCTCCACTGAGCTAAACCCAGCCCTGCATGCTCAGCTCATTGGCAGAAAGCATTAACTGAGCACTCACAGCCAATGAGCGCAGCCCTGCATGGTTGGGTTTAGCTCAGTGCAGGAGCTTCTGACTTCATGTAAGGCAGTGCAGTGTGCCTGGTGGACCCCATATAAGTTGTAAAACCATTCTTAAACAGTCTGACTATTTACCCTAGGAATGTGCCAGGGCACTCCTGACACCATATCAATTACAGCGGTTTGTAGTGGTTATGGTGCATGGAGTGTTCCTTTAAAAGTTAACACAAAAGTGTCAGGAAGACAAACCTTTATTTCTAATGCTTTATTGTCCCTGTCTCTAATTCCATAGGTTTGTTCCCCTTGTGCGTCCCATAAAAATAAAAAATGGTTAAATTGACAAGACCACTGCACCCAGGCCACTTCATTGGGATGGAGTGGCCTGGATGACTTTAGTGGCCATTCAATCACTAAAATATGCCCTGTAAGGAATTCAAACTGAATTTAAAATTTTAGGAGAAAATAGCCAAACTGGAAAGTAAGCTATAGTTTTAGTTCAACAATTTTGGCAGCAAGTTACTTTGAATTCAGTTTACACTTCAGTGAAATTTCCTGCCAATATTTGTGTTCAGACTGCAATTCACTACAATTAAATGGTCCATTCCCTAAATGATGAAATATCCAAAGCAAATTCAGCTACTTTTATTCTGCTTAAAGTGGCTCTGTCACCGTCTGGGGTGCTTGCATAATTTGCAAAGACCCTGGCAGTAACTGGTCTGCTGGGTGTGCTGTGGGTGAAGGGGAAATTGGGTTTTACTTACTGAACCTGTCCCTCACAGCCACTGCCATTGCCATAGTCTTCCTGACAGTCCTCTTGAGCTACTAGTATTTATCTGCCAGGAGTACACATCAGTATGTGAGAGTACAGCACAGATTTATCAAGGACCCCTACAGCTGTCACTGGCGAACAGAAGAAATGAGCACAACAGAACTGCAAAGCACTGTCATAATAGCCAAGTTTAGGTAATGTAGGTCAGGTAGTTTAGCTAGAGACAGGTAAGAGAACATAAAATAGATACAAAGTGGATAGTGCACTTAAAACCAAAGTGCAGGGTGATAGCACTTCTGTGTACAATGTGGGAATACGTATATACACAAGGTAACACACACTTTTACTATTGGAAAAAGATCTCCTTAAAGTGTATGTTACCTTGTGTATATACTTATTCCCACATTGTACACAGAAGTGCTATCACTCTGCACTTTGGTTTTAAGTGCGCTATCCACTTTGTATCTATTTTCTGTTTATATATTGTGAGAAATTGTGTGGTTGGTTTCACAGTGGTATCAGCAGCACTACTGATATTGACACTATAGCGCCACATTTTACCACTATACTTTTTTTCTTAGGTATGAAAACATCCAGCGTCAAGAAAAACTCCATAGGAAAGCATTGAGGCAACGCTTTCCAATGGGGAAGGTCTAATGCTCGCACAGCACTTGCCGCACATGAGGATTAGGTACCCACCAGCTCGCGTCATGGCAGGCGGAGTGTGACCCTGGGATAAGGTAAGTCCGGAGTGCCCAAAAGATAGATCCCCAGATGTTAAAACTACAGCTTCCATGATGCTTTGGCATTCTAAAGGCTTGCAAAGCGTAATGGGAGTTGCAGTTCTACAGCATCTGAGAAGCTACCTTTTGGGCAACCGGAATAAAGGGTTATTTAACTATTTAACCACAGGGCAGAGGAAGATGTTCGTTTTAGGAATACAAAATTCCAAACTCTAAAGTATTCCTTTAAGCTTGTTTTTAAAGTAAAAAATGTTGGTTATGTTTTTATTAGTATGGCTATCTATGGCCAATTCCTCTCAATCTCTTTCTAGAAAAGCTATGTCCATTATATCCATTTACAGTCTCTTTCTGCATGTCTTTATGTTATGTGATTGCTATAAGAAGTTACATATTGTACTTGTAATGGTCACAGATTTGTAAACGGGTTTCATTGTTGTTTATTTACTAAGCTCCAAAATGTAGTGAATTTGGAAATCGAAAGGCAACATTAAAACAGTTGACCATGTAAGCAAAATTCTCCAACCCATCTATAGCCACAGTTTGTCTAGTTAAGCCTGACTTTTTGCATTCAGATTTTAATTGGAATGTAGTGAATTAACCCCTAAAATTCCAAATGGCCTGTTATCATTGTGACACAAAGTTCTATCTTACAGAAGTTCAGACTCACCTGCCTCTCCATCCCTCACAGCAGGACTGAAGTACTCACTCACCCTGGCTGCCCCCTCACTCTGGATCTCACAGGGCAGGAGGTGCACGGTCTCTGGGCCAGCTTTGGGCAGAGAGCTGAGGTCCACACGGATACAGGATGCAGCGCTGCTCTCAGCCATGCCTGTAGTAACAGAGCAGTAGATCACAAGAGCCTCTATCCCAGCAACCTCTGCTGTCTGCCTCACCAATTACAGCTCCCGCCAAGCAGGGGGAATTACATTTACACAGCTCGCACAGCATGCAGGGAAATGTAGTCCTCTCTTGATAAAATAAAAAAAAAGTTAACTACATGGAAAAAAATATTTACTAACATTGTAAAATGAGGGTTAAATTGTAGGACAATAGATTTTCTTTGCTTTAATGATTTATTTTTTTTCTTGAACAATAATATTTAATAAAAATTAAAACGTATGTCAGAAGTGGGATTCGAACCCACGCCTCCAGAGGAGACTGCGACCTGAACGCAGCGCCTTAGACCGCTCGGCCATCCTGACAACTGAAGATATGTGTCTACAGACGTTCCTATCAATGCTGCAGCAACCACGACACACTGTTTTCTTGTTACATTATTAGTTTTATGCTGCTCGTTTACTAAACTCCATCAACATGTTATAGTTTCAGCAAGTATGAACAGCTGCCAGGAATCAATTGGTTCGCTTTCTACCTAATCATAATCCAAATATTACTACACTTAGAGTCATGCTTTGGTTAGCTGCTGCAGCAAGGTATCTAAATGTTCAGTATTAGACGAAGAAAGGATTTTCCACCTGGGGTCAGTATCGTCTATCAAAAGAGTCATTAAAAAAAAAATTCCTCTTCTTATTACATACATTTTGCAATTCTCTTCTTACTAATTATTCAGTCATTATAGATATAAACTTCATGAAAGCAAACTGTGGTCGTTGAAACGCTGAAAATGTAATATAGTGTTCTATATCAACATTCGATCATGACCAGATAATAGTCACATATGCACAACACAACATGCTTCATCTATACGTCTAACACAACATGACATCAGTTGTCAGGATGGCCGAGCGGTCTAAGGCGCCAGACTCAAGATTAGTCTCTTCCCAAGCGTTGGGTGTTCTGGTCTCCGAATGGAGGCGTGGGTTCAAATCCCACTTCTGACACATTATTTTTTTTTCATTGATATATATATAAGTAGAAAGGTTTATACTCAAAATTTTAGAAGGTTTATTCACTAAAGTGAGAATTCAAAATGAAAAAAATAATTCAAAGTGAATTTAAAATTTTTCATAATAGCTGAACCAGAAAAATTCTATAGCTGAGTTATGCTTCCAATTTAGCAAATTTGACTGGAAAAGTAACCACTACTTGACCTGACATCCCCAACCCGTTGTGGTCTAGGTGGGTATGCCGTCCCATAGAAGCTATGTGGCAAAACCCCTATTTTGCCTTCCCAGGAGCTGTTCTGCTCCTCAGTTCGGGAACCTGTTCTAAACTTTGTTTTATGCCTTCTTTACATTCGGTATTATAAAGTACCAAACACCGACCACCCACTGGCTCATTAAATACAAAGAAAACCGCAAGAATTAAGTGCTCTCTCTGTGTTTGTATAACCAAATGCCACGTGGTGGAGAAAACAACGGCCATCTTGTCGCACAAAAGCAGGCAGCGGGAGTGTCTGGAACGCCAAGACTACGTGAATGTCTGCTTTCTTTTGCACAAACAAACGCTACAAATGAGCCAGGGGAACTGTTCTCCTTTTCGTACGTTTGGAACTCCTAAACATGACCGACCGCTAGTATAACTTAAATAAAAAATTTTGAGAGTAGCTCATCTAATAAATTTAATGACATCTATAAAAGAGGAGAAGTTATTAAAATTATGAGTAGGAGCGTATTTCAGTCCTTTGGTCCGGTATCTGATGCTGGACGTCCTCATGATCTGCATGAGGACATCCAACTTCAGATTTTTCCCCATAGGAAAGCATTGATTCAATGCTTTCATATGGGAAGGTCTAATGCATGTGCGGTACTTGCAGTGCATGCGCATTAGCGTCCCGCTCATCGCAGGGTGTCGGAGTCGGCGGAACAGTGCTGGGATAAAGTAAGTATTTAAACCAGGGAGGGGGGATGCGAGGTAATGGGGATGCAGGGGGAGCGATAGTGCCTGGAATACGGCATTAAATTCCTGGCACTATAATATCCCTTTAAAAATGCCAGATTCTAAAAAAGGTTTATGATCAGTTATTTATTTTATTGTCTCCTTGATTTTTTGATATCTTCTCCCACTTCTTCCCCTGGTGTTAGACTTATTTTTCTCCTCTTCTCTTCTATTGGGTTTTACATTGTAGTTCATTGATCATATTTTTTCATTTATTTCCTACAGTCTTTTTTTATTAATTTATTTTACTCATCTCCTTTTTTATTTGTTCTTTCACTTTCACTGGTCACAAGCTTAAAAAAAAACCTTAATTTTTACTTGCCTCACCGATAACATCAACTTACTACACTATATCTGGTGTTCTGTCCTTTTTCATGTTTCACTCTAATTTGGATCTGAGGACATTCACTGGTTGTAAGCAATGTTCTCGAACGATGGGTGCCCTAAATGATGACGATTTAACTGTTTCTACTACCTGCTTTGCTTCCATCGTTTCCTTACTACAATTCTTGGGGACATTTCCCTGGTGTCAAGCAGGACATCAGGCAACTGAGGCAGAATTGTGGGCAGGACCCGGAACTTGAGACTGTCCCACTGAAATGAGAATGCTTGGGAGGTATGTTAGAGACATTTGGCTGGTCTAAAATACGATAATGAACGAATCAAAAAGAACAGATTTTTTTTTTTTTTTAGCCTGTGCACATTTCTAATATTCACCCTCTGGAATTATTAAGTAAACATCAAAATGTATGCAATTCACCCAGGGACTGTACATTTTTTGACACAAATAAAAAAATCAACAATGTGTGCTGATAATTTTTTTTTTCATGAGGTTTAAAACTTCTGGATGAGTTCCAGACAATTTATGGTATAGTAAAATATCCAATGGGTGTTTTAAAAAAAATCTTTAAAAGAGAATTGAATTCAAATGAAACACACGGTTTTGGCCAAAATTTCAAACATAAAAAAATTGTCAGAAGTGGGATTCGAACCCACGCCTCCAGAGGAGACTGCGACCTGAACGCAGCGCCTTAGACCGCTCGGCCATCCTGACATATATACAGTTTGTAAAAAAAAAACAGATAGGAAATTACTCAAGATAGAAAGACAGCCGTGGCTTAATTTGTCAAAAGATTATAGGATTCATTTTCCTTGAGAACTTTCTCCATTTACCTATTCTCTTCATAGGAGTGATGGCATTATCTTACTGAGGTGTTTAACCTCAACCTGGTCTACAACTCCTATTATTCCCTGCCACCAGCAGCAAACACTTCTGGAAACTGGAGGGCCAAAACTTCTGGAAACTGGAGGGCCAAAATTGGACACAAACAATACTTTTGTATCTGTATTCTAAATGCCTGCAGAGCATGTTCGACTGAATTCCAAAGTTGGACACATCAGTTTTTAACACGCAAAAAATACACTTCTTTTACTTGTATTCTCCATTTCACTTTTCATTCTCACATAATCATTTATGCCAGATTCTGAGAATTTATCAGAACAGCCATACCCCTGGCCACACCCCATCACACTCTCAGTCATGGAACGGGGAGGGAGGGGAAGGAAGTGTGCAGACTAAATCACAGCTGATACATTTATTATTATTATTATTATTATTATCATTATGTTATTTATATAGCGCCATCAAATTCCGCAGCGCTTTACAATGGGTGGACAAACAGACATGTAGTTGTAACCAGACATTTTGGACACACAGGAGGGGTTGAGGGCCCTGCTCAATGAGTTTACATGCTAGAGGGAGTGGGGTAAAATGACACAAAAGGTAAGGATAGTATTATGGACTGTAACGGCGCAAGTTGGGAGCACGTAAGACCGTAAAAACGGATTGTTTTCCTGGCACTGGAGTTTCCCTTTAAGCCTTTCTGTGCTGAGGTGGGGGGGAGGGGTGCACAAGCAAGGGGGGGGCACTATAGGCTGAGACGGTGCACCTCAACCCTCTCCTCAAGGCACACCTAACAGTCCAGAAAATAGGGATTACCCGGGTGTGTCTAACGTGTTTAGAAAAAAAACAAAATACACCTTAGACTCTAAGATTTTTTTATTCTTTTTCTAAACACTTTAACCCCTTAACGCCGAGTGACGGATGAGGTCCCTCACTCAGGGGAAACCCTTAACGACGAGTGACGGACCTCGTCCGTCAAGCGGTAAAATTAACCCCGGATCGCCGCGATAATGGTGCTCCGGTCTGGCTCTGTATTGGATCAGGCCGATCAGGCTGCCCAGCACATGTGCTCACTCTGACAGCATGTCAGGGTGAGTACATGTGCTCCATATACTCACCTTCTGCCTCCCTGCACTTCCTGGTTCTGTGTGAAGTGCAGGGAGACAGATCAGTGATGATCCTGCCCCCTGTTGAAAAAAAAATAAAGTTAATTTAAAATCCCACCCCCCTGACTACAGTGATCAATTGGCAGGGATTACATTTTACTGTCATCTGATTTTTTTTTTTTAACCTCTGAGGGTTAATTCTTTTTTTTTTGAACCCTCAGGGGTTAAATTTATTTAATTAATTTAAATATTTTAAAATTATATATTTTGCTAACTGGGGTGGGTGGAAGTTAGTGGGGAATTGGGGGATTTGGCGTTAGGCTAACTAGGGGTTAATGTTAAAAAAAGTTTTAAAATAAACTTTAAAAAGTTAAAAATTAAGCTTAAAAAAAGTTTTAATAATGTTTAAGTAAAAAATAAAAAAACAAGCCCTTTACCCAGTCCAAATAAAAATTAACCCCTTCCCTGCCAGTCGATCACTGCCTACAGTGATCAAAATACAGATCACAGTATTATATCAGAGGTTCAATTTATTTATTTAATTAATTTAAATATTTTATAACTATATATTTTGCTAGCTGGGGTGAGTGAGAGTTATGGGAAAATGGGGAATTTACTGTTAGTGCTGCTTACTGCTAGTTAGGGGTTTAACGTAAAAAAAAAAGCTTAGAAAAATGTTAAATCTGTAAAAAAGTTTTAAGAAAGTTTAGGAAAGTTTTAAAAAAATTAATAAGCAAAACAAAAGTTTAAAAACTAGTTTTTAAAAGTAAAAAAGTAAAAAAAAAAGTAAAAAAATACATTTTAAAAACGCTCATTACCACTACACCTGGAACAAACTAGAGAAAAAATTATCCCACGCCAAGGTTCAAAATATGCCTTTTGAATTACCCCAGGGTGTATTCTTTAATAAATAGTATGTGTTTGTGGGGAAGTTTCAATAACCAACCGTCTAAACTACTCCAAATTGGAACATGGACAAAGCGTAAAACTTCAAAGTTAGAAAAAAACTGAATGGCTGCGTCTCAAATGCGCCCCATCAACATCCACATATACCTGGCAAAGGTACATACGGTGGTATTGCTGTACTCAGCCGACATAGCTGAGCAACATATGAAGTATTATACAGTGGTAGCACACATCAGGTTTACAAAATATACTGCGCAAACTCACTTTGTGTGTCAAAAAGGCAGAAAAAATGCTTATTACCATTACACTTGGTATAAGCTAGCGGAAAAATGATCCCACGCTAAGGTTCAAAATATGCCTTTTGAAATACCCTGGGATGTCTTCTTTAAGAAATGGTATGGCTTTATGGGGTATTTGGATTATGTAGCCTGGTAAAATACTCTAAAATGGGACATGGGCACAGGGTAAAAATGTAAAGTTTGAAAAAAAATGGAATGGCTGTGTCCCAAATGTGCCCCTCCGATCAGTGGCGGATCCAGGGGGGGGCAACGGGGCAGTTGCCCCCCCCCCCCCGAGAAATCTGCCGGTCTCCCTCTCCCTCCCCTGCCAGCCCTGCAATGTGCCTGCGGACCGGAGGGGAGATCACAGATCACAGATCTCCCTCCCCAGTCCGCAGGCACTGTCCTGACAGCCGGCAGGGGAGGGAGAGGGAGTGAGAGGGAGGACCCAGAGCTCAGCCTGCAGCTCCTCCGGGTCCTCCTCTTGCGTGATTTGGAGCGTTGCCACAGTTACCACGGCAACGCTCCAAATCTCACGAGAGTGAACTCTAGCCCAGGAGCGTGGGCTAGAGTTCACTCTCCCCACTGGGACCACCAATGAATCCCCCACCGGTCCACCAGGGAAATGTCCCCCCTCCCCCCAGTAAAGGTAAGAAGGGAGGGGGGACATAGGATATTTATTTTAATTAAATTAAAAATATATATATTATTTAAAAAAAAGCCACACATACATTGCCCCCAATACTGCCCCCCATACACACAAACTGCCCCCCCCATTCGCACACACTGCCCCCATTCACACAAACTGCCCATTCACACATACTCGCCCCCATTCACACAAACTGCCCCCCTATCTTCACACAAACTGCCCCTATACACACACAAACTGGCCCACCATTCACAAAAACTGCCCCCCACACACACAAACTGCCCCCCATTCACAAATAACCAAGCCCCCTATACACACATACTGCCCCCCCATACACACACACATACACCAAGCCCCCATACCACCTTCACACACTGCCCCCCATACACACATACACTGCCCCTATACACACACACATACCGCCCACACACACACACACACCGTCCCCCATTCACACAAACTGCCCCCATACACACACAAACTCCATTCACACACAACCGTCTCCCACACACACAACCGTCTCCATTCACACAACCAGTCCCCATATCAATACAAACCTATACACACAAACCGGCCCATACACAACAAACCGCCCCCATCCAATACCAAACTCCCCAATACACAAGGCACAAACGTCCCTATCACACACAAACTGCAACCTTTCATTCAACACACCGCCCCAT